AGTGAAAGTCTTTAGGGTCTAGTCACAAGAGATGCAGTACACCCAAAGGAGACTCAACTCAAACTTCAGGGGTCTAGTTTTCACAGACTCAGATAAAGATGCCTCCTTACTGTTCACATTTACTTATTTTTTAAAAAAAAAGGAAAGAAAAAGAATAACCAAAAATGTCTTAATCACGGCCAAAATCCAGACTTGTATTGTGCCAGTTTGCCTGCACATTGTAAAAAAGCCCAGTGCTAGTCAGACCAATGGGAAAGTCAGTAGAAGGTAAAGCACAGGAGAACAGAACATAGTACAGCAAGATGATACAAGAAAGAAAAACTGAGGTGGGAGAGTGAGACAGAGCAAAGCATGCTGCAGAAGAGGACAAACAGAAGAGTAAACACAGAGGGAAGCCAGAGGGCAGAGACAAAAGATAACAAGAAAGAAAGGAAGGAGTGGGAAGTTAACAAAGACAAAAGACATGAAGGGAAATAACATAACACAGATGGGGAACAAAAAATGGAAAAGACAGAAACAGAAGAAAGTTATATACAGGAAACCCATCCTGCCAGAAACTGCTTCTTATCAAGTTCAGACAAGAAACACTGCCAAAAGAAGAGCTGAATTAAGCATGGAAAGTTCAGATCACCTGAAACTTCTGAAGACAGATGAAAGAAACTACATTATAATATGAATGAAGTAGCTTATGAGGATTTCATCCCAGAGTACACTGGCCCTGTTCTGCTTTAAGAAAAAAAAAAAAACACCAAACAACTTTAGTTCAATAATAGTTTCACCCATCTACTTGCAGAAGAACTGGGCCCACTTGTGAAAGAATGTTAACTGATTAGGGACTAAATATTAAGTAGAATTCAGGGTCAACTTCAATAACTGTTTTTAAAGTTCGTTAGTCTGTATTGCACTCTATGCAATACACAAATACTGAGAACTGCTCCATTCAAAGTACAGAAGGGAAGATGCCTTCCTCCTGCTCTCCCAGCACACACCAGAGACACACATCAAGGTGTTTTAGAAAAAGGATTAGATGAACTTTCCCACAGAACACCGGACTGTAACACTGGCAAGTGGTCAAGCACGGTCCAGTCTGAACTTAACTCTGCACTTCTGCTTTGTTTGAAATGCATTGTTTTGTATCACATCATACTAACACATCATTCTTGAGAGAGATTAAGGATGACCATGAATCTACGGTGCAAGAAGATAGCTATAGCACACCCTCTACTCTCAGAGAATGGCAAGAAGGCAAAACAGAAATCTAAGCTTGTCTATTCAGAAGATGAAAAGATAGACAAAAAAAAAAAAAAGAAAGACTCCTATCCTACAACATCAGTGATTATAATCTGCTTAATTTAGGCACCAATATCATGAAGAAACCCATTCTTGCTTCCTTAAGTTACTGTAAGTATCTCATAGCATGCTGCTGGCTATCACAAAAACTTCAATAATCACAACTTGCATCTCAGCAAAAATGAATGACCGACACAGAAACACACAATTGTCCCATCCTTACACTTAGCTTGTACTGTCAATTTTCAGTAACTGTCTACTGTTCCAAAAACAAGGGTGTAGAACCTTCTCACAGACACCTATCTTAAGATATTTAAGATTAAAAATTGACTCAGATTCAAGAATAACAGATACCCAAGATACATCCTATTTTTAAAAAAATACATAAATATACATACATTTGACTTACTATTTCTCTTAAGACATATCTACCTGTTTCTCAAAGTGTTTGTTATATTTTTGGTTAATTTGTGCTAAGACTTCTTTTGCCATTACTACTGCAACGTATAACTGACTGTGTTGATTAGATACCACATGTTGAAACATTCATGAGAAAGTAAGAACAGGGCTCGCTCACAGCTCAACCAGTGGTTAGGTGGTTGACATGGCCAATTGTTTCACTGGCTCAGTCACACGTGAAGACAGACTCAGAAACTGTATCTCAGGTTTCTCTTACAAGTCCGGGAAATCCCATCATACACAAGCTGTCTTGTAACATCCCATCACAAATGGGAATGAATACTGTTCGCATGTACACCCTTGGACTAAGGTTGCCATCGCAGGCTTCCTGAAGTCATAAAGAACGAACACTTTGACTGCTCAACTTCTCATATATGCAGTCTTCTCCCTAGCCCAAGCAAAACCAGTAAAGTTTCCATTTCTAATTCCCACTTACCAGTGTTCCACTGGTTTTTGCTCTCTTGTACCATTGCTTCCTCTTTCCATAGCTGATGACAAATTATATATATTTTGTATTCGCAAAAAAAATCCACAAGCATAAATATTTAATTTTTCTGTTTACAAATTAAAAAATATGAGCCAGTTCAGCTAGCTGATGGAAAGCAATTAATCTATTCAACTCAATGATGCAACATTGATTTACTCCCTAAGAACCAAGCCCCAGATATAAAATCCATATGCAAACTAAAATATATAAAGCTGAACTTTTGGGGTTTACATAATGAGGAAGTGAAGGCAGTGGAGGCAGACCATGTTCCTGTTCCTCACTCTGGTCTCTCCGCGCCAAGGCATGAAATGACAAAAGTGCTGCAACCTGTACAGTGTCAATGGGTGCCTGTGTCCAAAGAGAGGAAGCTGGGGAGAAGAGGCTGTGGGGCTGATAGCACCAAACACCTGGGCTGGAAGGAGAGAGGAGATTATCTTATTCTCCTCAACTTTTGAATTTGAATTAAAGCCAGAGTGGGGTACAGTCTTCTAGCAAGCATAGGGCTCATGGAAGACAAACATGTCTACATGCAGGGGGCTAAAATCCTACCAAACCTATTCATAAGATTTAATACTGATTTTTAAAATTTGGTCTGGTTGTTAGACCAGTATCACAAAAGATCTGAACATTATTCAATAGAATAATCTCTACTTCCACTATAAGACAACTTACAGCCCTCTCCCTCAAATATATATCTATACATACACTTCAAGCATCAGGAAATGCATGCTCAAGCAGGTTCCCAAGCAACCCTGAAGATTTCTAACTCAGCTCTTCTATGATATTCCCTCACAGTACACTTGAATCCACACTAAGAGTTCAACAAAGGAACTGGGTCTACACTAGGAAAAATGTCAGTGAAATACCAGAGGAAGATATGTCAACTCAGATCACTGGTTAGTGTATCTCATTATGTAGAACCTTAGTCGTAAGAAAAGCCAACGGGGCTCATTACAAAACTATTTATTTTATTAGATCAGGTACACCGAATGTGCCTGTGTGTTCCCTTATCATGTTTAAATCTGTCCCAGCACCTGAAAGTACGTTGTCAGGATAAATTCCGTTCTCTGAGCAAACTTAGTGGAATTACTCAACATCAGTATAAACAGGATGCAAATTTAAATGGGAATTTGAGAGAATTTAAATGGCCAAGAAAACTTTTTATACATATAATTTGGGGTGTTCAAGACTCTTTCTACTGAAAATGGATTAGGATCTCTTACTAAAAAAATGTAATTTATTTTTGCTTAGACTAACCTGGCCACATTAGATAAAAAAAGAAAAACCATCAGGGATGAAAATGTCCATTTCTTTCTAAATACTAGCGCACTGTAGAATTAGGTCAGAAATACCAGACAAACAAATAGCCTAACAAAACTAATGCTAAAAACATTTCTTTCAAAATGATTAGCCTCTGACACAAATAACCGCTTCACCCTTTTCATGTAATGCTTTATGAAATTAGTTATTAGTGGATCTCCTGATGGATTGACAGCTATGGAGATTTGTGCCCTGAATTTCTCAGGGGAAAAAAAAAGAAAGGAGAGGTAAAGACTGTTGGTTGGATAGATACACAGCTGCATAATTCATTCTTTATATTGACCTGAATTACTCTGCCTCTCGCCAGCATTTTTTATTGTCCATCTTTGCTTAATCTTGATAAACAAAAAATATATAAAATGGATCATATGCACAGAATAATTACTTTTAGGAAAATAAACAGGCTTACACACCACAAATTACACAAGCACATTCATAAATAGAAGACCTCATATAAACCTAAATTTTCCATGTAAAATAATCCAAAATTACCTACTTACTGCTATCCAATTCTTTATTTTGTGAACAAATCTCCCCTCCCCCC